TATGAAGGGCACGGTGTGTTCCAGATGTGAGGGCAGCGGTGCTGTGACATGTGGTTTGTCTCTGCTGAGGGAAGGGATCGAGAGATGCAGGGTGGCGGACGTTCCCTTTGCATAGTCGCCCTGCTTTTAATTACGTTTGCCTTTTCTCTTAGCTGTGGCTCTGCCCTTCAGGCTGCTTGCAGTACTGCTCGTGCAAAGTTTTGAGCGCTCTGTCTTTCTGTCTCCCGGGCCTTCGGTGGACTCTTCTGCTCTGCTGCCCTCGGGGCCGTTTGTGTCTTGCCACCCCCTACGTGCCGTGACTGTGCTACCTGCCATCGACTTCTCGCTGCTCCGCTGGGGATCCGCCGCTGGCGGGGGGATTGTGTGCCAGGAATCGCACCGTGCTTCTCCCTTTCTGCTCTCCCCTCTGCCCTGGTGGGAGGTGAGCTCAGCTGGTTTTGCTCTGTGTTCTCCTGCACCTACAGCTTCTCTGTGGCTTAGGCTGGGTGCAGTGTCTCCTCAGCCTGGTCCGTGAAGCCTAATGGCTCAGCCACGTAGAGCATCTGCAGCTTTGGCAGAGTGCAGTGTGCCCTGTAGCACCCGAGCTGTTGCGTTGTGCGCTCTACTAACCATCCCTTCTCATCATAGATGGGAAATTAGATTTCTTCTCCTTTATGAGGCTGCAAATCCCGTTCATCTTCTCAAAGCGTGTCTCTTTGAACAGATTAGTCTGCTCTTACAATGAGTGTTCTATAAACCCATGCGTCTGTGGTAGGATCTGTCTGGCCCATCCTTAGACTGGGAGACACTGGAGGTGGACCCATGCGTAGTTGCCTGAATTGTCTTTATGCCTGCGGAGAGGGTAAATGGCATCCAGGGAGTATGTTCCAAGTCATTCAGGCTGGCCTTTTCAAATAGGTCAGATGAGTGACACCCAGAAAAATTATCTTCTGATTTATTCTATCCTGAGGACTGTTTGCCTAAAATGCTTCAAAGCATTGTGAACTTTTGAATCCAGTGTTGAAGTCACTGGAAGCATCCTATCTGTGGCTTCAAAAGGAACATTTCCAGTTCTCTTATTTAGATAGCTTCTGTTAAGGTGTTCATCAGCATGGGGTGTGTAATCCAGTTCCTTAAAGAATGTAGGACATCAGCTTTGAGCTCTCCACACGTCTCAGTCGGGGATGTGCTACCAAACAGAAGCAGCAGGCACAGCGTTACCCTCACTCCATCCCTAGAGGCAGTCCCACTGCAGCAAGGCTTAAGCGACTATTTGCATTAGGGTCCCCTTTTCTGCCACTTGGCGTGAAATAATTCTGCCTTTGACTAGCTGTGCGATCCACCGCCTATCCATGCCCAACCTGAAAGATGAGTGTCACCACTTTCGGGTGGAATGGATGCATCACATGTTTTGTGGATGTGTCATCAAGGAAAAGGAACAAGCTGATTCTTCTGAGTTTAATTTTTTCCTGATCTTGTGTGGTGGGTAGGAGAACAAACTTCTG